AGGAGGAGGAGGAGGAGGAGGAGGAGGAGGACGAGGAGCAGGCGGAGATGGAGGAAGAGGAGGAGGAAGAAGAGAGGGAGGAAGAGGAAAAGGAGGAGGAGGAGGAGGAGGAGGAGGGAGGCGGGAGGAGGAGGGATATGAGGGGGAGGGAGGATGATGATGAGGATGAGTAGGAGAAGGAGGATGATGAAGATGAAGGATGAGAGGAGGAGGAGGAGGAGGAGAAGAGGAGAGGAGGAGGAGGAGAGAGGAGGAGGCGGGGAGGTAGGAGGAGAAAAGGGAGGAGGAGGGGGGGGATAATATGGAGGAGGACGGGAGTGGAGAGGAGGGAGGAGGAGGAGGAACAGGAGGACGAGGAGGACGAGGAGGAGGAGGCGGAGGAGGAGAAGGAGGAGGACGACGACGAGTCGGAGGATGCGGAAGGGGAGAGGGGGGGGGGAGGAAAGAGGGGGAGGAGGAGGGGGGGAGGGGGAGGAGGGGAAGGAAAAGGACGGGGGGAGGAGGGGAAGGAGAAGGAGGGGGAGGAGAAGGAGGAGGAGGGGGAGGAGGAGGAGGAGGAGGGGGAGGAGGACAAGGAAGAGGAGGAGGAGGAGGTGGAGGAGGAGGAGGAGGAGGGGGAGGGGGGAGGGAAGGAGGGGGAGGGGGAGGAGGGGGCGGAGAGGCAGGAGGAGGCAGAGGGGGAGGAGGAGGACGGGGAGGAGGTCGGTTTTCTGGGCTAACGCCACATACTTGGACCTGTGCCTGGTCATACCGTGTTCGGAGCTGTTCCGTGGCCACGGCTAGAACCTAAGCGCGCGCGAAGCGCGCGCGTGGTTCTAGTATATATATATATATATATGTGCACAAGTGTGTGTATATATATATATATATATCTGTTTATATATACATATGAATATCACGTGTTCTCTAGCCACTTTGGCCCAAGCCTTTGCTCAAGGCTCAAGCGTCACCACACGGGAGGGACATCGCAGGTCTGCGCGGCTGTAGTTGCGCAGGGCAGCCATGCCGGCCAACTCTGAGAAGGAGCACCTGTCCATCGTGATTTGCGGGCATGTCGACAGTGGCAAGAGCACCACCACGGGCCGCCTGATCTTCGAGTTGGGGGGCCTGCCCGAGCGCGAGCTCGAGAAGCTGAAGGCGGAGGCCGAGCGCCTGGGCAAGGGCTCCTTCGCCTTCGCATTCTACATGCGGGGTGCGCCACTGGGGCCTTCGGTGGAGCTCCCCATGGGGCCACGAAGCGCTGTACCGGGTGTGGCGGACGCATGCGGGCTGCGCCACTGGGACCTTCGGAGGAGCTCCATAGGGCCCTTTCGGGCCGTCCTGTGCGCCTCTGGCGCCGTCTTGGGGCCCCCTTGGGCCGTCTTGGGGCCGTATTCGAAGCCCCTGTGGCTGTCTTGGAGCGGACAATATGACATCTTGGGTCGTCGTGGAGCGTCAGAACACTGAAAAGGCGAGAATTTGGAACTCCTTCCAAAACCTTTGGAAAATCATTAACAAGTTGTGCCTCGCGGGACTCCTTTGGAGGCATCTTATCTAGGAGGTTTCTGGGGGCGTCTTGGAGGCCTCTTGGATAGTCAGGGGCTAATTCTGGCCGCCTTGGCCGTCTTGGCCGTCATTGGTCGTTCCCGCAATCTGGAAGCGCCATGTTTGGCGATCCTGGGGCCGTCTTCGGGCGATCTTAGGGGGCCCCCGGCGCCTCGGCAAAACCCCCGGAACTTCCCAGTCCCCCAGATGGGGACACATGTTTGGGGACCGCGGGTCTGTGCATATATATATATATATATATATATATATATATATATAGGGGCCCTCGGGCAGCCCCGCCAAGGAGGCTTCAGAAGCCCCCAAGACACCCCAAGCGACCCCCAATTGGGCCCCAAAGAGAGCCCCAAGGGGCCAAAATAGCCCCATTCCCTTTGTAAAACGTATATGTCTTTGTAAAACGTATATGTTTAACATATTGCTTGTTTTCGCTGTCGGTCCGGCCCAGGACGCGCCCCAGAGGGACCCAATACAGCCCCAGAGAGCTCCAGGACGGCCCACGAAAGGCCCAAGACGGCCGCAAATGTGGGCCCCGGGGCCCTCGGAAGCCCCGGGGCCTCACAGAAGACCGCCAGAAGGCGCCAAGGAGGCCCCCAGAGGATATATGTGGATGCATGAATACCAGGTCCCCAGCCCGGGGGCCCCGCCCACCTCAAAACCCTTGGGCCCTCCTTTTTCAATACCCCCGCCCTGGCGCCTCCAAGGGGCCTCCAGACGGCCCAGGAGGCCTCCAGAAGGCCTCCAAGACGGCCTCAGGAAGCACCCAAGATGTCCATGAGGGCTCCGAGACGCCACAAGATCGGTCCAATACAGTCAAGATAGTCCCTACACGGCCCAAGAGGCTTCCAAGACACCCCAAAAGGCCTCCAAGAGGCTTTTTCAAGAGGGCCACAAGAGGCTAACAATTGTTGTTTTTCAAGGGTTTGGTGGGAGGATGTTTTGTGGTTCTCACCTTTGCGGCTTCCTGGCGCTCCAAGATAGCCAAAGAGATTCCCGAGATCGCCCAAAGACGGCCCAAGAGGCTCCCAAGACGGCCCCAAGACAGCCCAAGAGGGACCCAAGCAGCCCAAGAGGCCTCCAAGACGGTCCAAGATAGCCCCAAGACGGCTCTAAGAAGGGACCCAGACAGGGAATCCGAACGGACTGTTCGAGCCTTCGGCCCCAGAAAGCTCCCAGGAGACTCCAAGAAGCGCCCCGGAGGCCCCCAAGACGCCGCCAGAAGCCCCCGAAGGGCTCCCAAGATGCATGTCACGGGTGCGCGACAAACAGATGCCATGGGCCATGCTGGTGGTCTCTCCCCCTGTGCTGGTCTCGCGGGAGACGCTGCAGGATCACATGTTCCCTTGGTTCATCGTCAGGCTTCGAGCCTCCATTAGGATACGCTTCTTCGCCGTCTTCGGCCCCGGGTGGGCGCCGTGCCTTGTGGAGGCTATTTTCCACCATCGCGGGCCCCGGCGATGAGGAGGAGGAGGAGGAGGAGGAGGAAGAGGAGGAGGAAGAGGAGGACGACGACGACGAGGAGAAGATGGAGTGGTTTTCGGAAGCCTGTTGAGGGTTCGGAAGTCATCGTGGCTTACCACCAGCTCCCAGAGATCGGTCTTGCCTTGCTCTACCCCGATGCCATTGCATTCCCCGTGGGATCTGCTTCTCCCCTGACCGTGGTAGTACAAATATTAGGTGGGAAATTCACAGGTTCATGACGCGTCCTTCAGGATGCACACGATCCCTGCTTCTGACTCGCTTCCTCCTGCTCCCTCCTTCTCCTGCTGCTCCTTCCTCCCACCCTCCCTCCCTCCCGGGGCTGCGTTCCCCCCGCCCCGGCCCGACCGGGGCCGCATTCGCATCTTCCTGGAGTAGTTTTTTGCCCCGGTTCCTGTTTCTCGACGGCCCCTGGGGCCGAAACCGGCTCCCCCAAAATGAAAGGCAGGAGAGGCCCCGAGGGAACGCCGTCGGCGTCGCGTCGGGCCCGCCGCGCCGCCCTCGAGGGTGGGCGCCTCCCGTCCGGAGGCCGTTGAGGCCCGGGGCAGAGTGCAGGACCCAGTCCCTCTCGCTCGGGGAAGGAGAAGCGACACCACCACCACCACCACCACCACCACCACCACCACCACCACCACCACCACCACCACCACCACCACCACCACCACCACCACCACCACCACCACCAGGGGAGCCACCTTCATCGAGAAGGTCCGCGATGCCCCTTCAAGCTGGAGGTTGGGGATGTCTCGAGCGGGGAGGTGTGGCCACACCACCAGGGGGCATCCCCTGGCTCCTCGCCCTGGTGGTGGTGGTGGTGTCGCTTTTCTTTGCTCCCACCTCGCGTCGGGACGAAAAAACACGACGGGAAGCTTTTGCACAAGTTCCAGCCTCCAGGGGGCCCTTGCGGGGCCCCTGGACCGTAAGACACAAGGCGGGATGAACAGGCGGCCCCGGGAAGTCGTCCGGATATGCTGGGCCCACGTTGTGAACACATCCCGGCGTCGAGTGTTTTGCGAGGTGGAGGAGGGGGATGAGGAAGAGGGATAAGGAGGAGGAGGAGGAGGAGGAGGAGGAGGAGGAGGACGAGGAGCAGGCGGAGATGGAGGAAGAGGAGGAGGAAGAAGAGAGGGAGGAAGAGGAAAAGGAGGAGGAGGAGGAGGAGGAGGAGGGAGGCGGGAGGAGGAGGGATATGAGGGGGAGGGAGGATGATGATGAGGATGAGTAGGAGAAGGAGGATGATGAAGATGAGGAGGAGGAGGACAAGGAAGAGGAGGAGGAGGAGGAGGAGGAGGAGGAGGAGGAGGAGGAGGAGGAGGAGGAGGAGGAAGGAAGGAGGGGGAAAAGGAGGAGGAGGGGGAGGAGGGGGGGGATAATATGGAGGAGGACGGGAGTGGAGAGGAGGGAGGAGGAGGAGGAACAGGAGGACGAGGAGGACGAGGAGGAGGAGGCGGAGGAGGAGAAGGAGGAGGACGACGACGAGTCGGAGGATGCGGAAGGGGAGAGGGGGGGGGGAGGAAAGAGGGGGAGGAGGAGGGGGGGAGGGGGAGGAGGGGAAGGAAAAGGACGGGGGGAGGAGGGGAAGGAGAAGGAGGGGGAGGAGAAGGAGGAGGAGGGGGAGGAGGAGGAGGAGGAGGGGGAGGAGGACAAGGAAGAGGAGGAGGAGGAGGTGGAGGAGGAGGAGGAGGAGGAGGAGGGGGAGGGGGGAGGGAAGGAGGGGGAGGGGGAGGAGGGGGCGGAGAGGCAGGAGGAGGCAGAGGGGGAGGAGGAGGACGGGGAGGAGGTCGGTTTTCTGGGCTAACGCCACATACTTGGACCTGTGCCTGGTCATACCGTGTTCGGAGCTGTTCCGTGGCCACGGCTAGAACCTAAGCGCGCGCGAAGCGCGCGCGTGGTTCTAGTATATATATATATATATGTGCACAAGTGTGTGTATATATATATATATATCTGTTTATATATACATATGAATATCACGTGTTCTCTAGCCACTTTGGCCCAAGCCTTTGCTCAAGGCTCAAGCGTCACCACACGGGAGGGACATCGCAGGTCTGCGCGGCTGTAGTTGCGCAGGGCAGCCATGCCGGCCAACTCTGAGAAGGAGCACCTGTCCATCGTGATTTGCGGGCATGTCGACAGTGGCAAGAGCACCACCACGGGCCGCCTGATCTTCGAGTTGGGGGGCCTGCCCGAGCGCGAGCTCGAGAAGCTGAAGGCGGAGGCCGAGCGCCTGGGCAAGGGCTCCTTCGCCTTCGCATTCTACATGGACCGCCAGAAGGAGGAGCGCGAGCGCGGCGTGACCATCGCTTGTACCACAAAGGAGTTCTACACCGAGAAGTGGCACTACACGGTCATCGATGCCCCGGGCCATCGCGATTTCATCAAGAACATGATCACCGGCGCTTCCCAGGCTGACGTTGCGCTTATCATGGTTCCAGCCGACGGTAATTTCACGACCGCTATCGCCAAGGGCAACCACAAGGCTGGCGAGATCCAGGGGCAGACACGCCAGCATTCCCGCTTGATCAACCTGTTGGGTGTGAAGCAAATCTGCATTGGCGTCAACAAGATGGACTGCGACACCGCCGGGTACAAGCAGTCCCGCTACGATGAGATCGCCAACGAGATGAAGAGCATGTTGGTCAAGGTTGGATGGAAGAAGGACTTCGTCGAGAAGGGCACGCCAGTGATGCCCATATCCGGCTGGATGGGAGACAACCTTCTGAAGAAGTCCGACAACATGGGTTGGTGGAAGGGCTGCGATGTCGAGTACGGCAAGGAAACCATCCACGTGGACACCGTATATGATGTGCTTGACGTGATGTGCCGCGTGCCAGAGAGGCCCACCAGCGCGCCAATGCGCATGCCGATCTCTGGCATCTACAAGATTAAGGGTGTCGGCGATGTGCTCGCCGGGCGCGTGGAGCAGGGCGTTGTCAAGCCTGGCGAGGAGGTGGTGTTCTTGCCAACGCACACCGCCTCGAACCCGTGCACTGGCAAGGTGTTCACCGTGGAGATGCACCACCAGCGCGTCGACTTCGCCAACCCGGGGGACAACGTTGGCCTCAACATCAAAGGCCTCGACAAGAACAACATGCCCCGCTCGGGCGACGTGATGGTCTACAAGAAGGACACTACCCTGGGTCAGACGAAGGAGTTCGACGCGCAGATCCAGGTGCTCGACATCCCCAACGAGATCAAGGTCGGCTACTCCCCGATCGGCTTCGTGCGCTGCGGGCGCGCGGCGTGCCGCATCAGCAAGCTGAAGTGGAAGATGGGCAAGGAGACCGGCGGCAAGAAGATGGAGGACCCCCATTCCCTCAAGTCCAACGAGATGGCCCAGTGCAGCTTCCAGCCCCAGCAGCCGCTGGTGTGTGACACCTTCAAGAACTGTGAGGGGCTGTCGCGCGTTGCGTTCATGGATGGTAACGGCGTGGTGATGCTTGGCAAGGTCATCTCTTGCGAGCGCAAGGAGGAGGGCGGCGCTGGCGGCAAGAAGAAGTAAGCCGGGATAGCGGTCCCGCAGTCGACGTGACGAATGTTCAAACACGTATCGTGCCGCCCCGGCCGTGCCAGAAGTTTTGGTATGACATTCACTTGGCAACGGGCGGCGCCGTTTACGAGGATCACGGTAGGCTCAATAAAACTAGTATATAGATCTCATGTGCTGGGGTACCGGGGGCCCAGGCCCCGGGCCGGCACACCCTGC